ACATGCCAATCAGCTAATCAACTCAAAACACCTGCAAAGGTTTCCTGAGCCTTCAAAATGGTCTCTCAGTTTGGTTCACTAGGCTACACAATCATGGGGAAGACTGCTGATCTGACAGTTGTCCGGAAGACAATCATTGACACCCTTCACAAGGAGGGTAAGCCACAAACATTCATTGCCAAAGAAGTTTGGCTACAGTTGTCGTATTCCTCTTGTTAAGCCACTCCTGAACCACAGACAACGTCAGAGGCGTCTTAACACTACTTCAGTCTATGTGCATTGAATTTATTTAATACACGAGTTTCACAATTTGAGTTGAATTACTGAAATAAATGAACTTTTCCACAACATTCTAATTTATTGAGATGCACCTGTAAGTTAAAAATAGAGCAAAGGTATTTAAAATCCATTGAATTGAGGCAGATTTGTTCCACTTTGTGGAAAAAAATTAAGAAAATCATCTGTAATAACATGGTGCCATTAGATGCCTGTATAGCCATATATATTCAGTGTTGTGTATTCCTTAGTTACTGAGCAGTGTTTTCAGGCATAACTGCTTAAGTTGTCACCCCTTCATTGCTGTGTACTTTTTTCTGCATTGTGGTTGATTTGTAGATTGTACACACAAAAATATCTCTGTATTTTCGTATTTTGCCTATTTCCCATTCATTTCCTATGCAAGTGTGACTATTTTTTTTAGTGTAACCTTTAAGTCTGACGAATCAACTGAACTTAATCTATCAGAGCTGCTACTGAATATCTGACTCGCTTACTGCAAGTTCATTCATTTCAGAGATGTCAATATCGAAGTGAATGTCTTGTGTTAGTATTACTTACTTATACATCGTTTTTCACTATCACTGATTGTATTTATCAGATCCAATCAGTTTGTTCATTTGTGATAGTGATCAAGTGACTCTTTTTGCAGGTTACACTATTACACCAGTAGGTGGCAGAGAGTGACTGTCTTTATGAGTGATTAATTAAAACAATAATTACATTCGTTTAAAATTAAAATTAATTCGTTTAAAACTGATTTATTTAGGAAGGACACAGTATATAAGTTATTGAATCTTTCCTAACTGATCTGTTCAAAATGAAGAAACCACTATTGTGATGCACACAAAATGCTGGCAATTTTGTGTCTGAAATGGTACATGATATTAAGTACTTTTTTTTTTTTTTTTTTAAA